ATATATATATATATATATATATATATATATATATATATATATGTGTGTGTGTGTATATATACATATATATATATAGCAAATTTCCAAGAAGTCTAGCAGCACAATGTGCTTTTATGAGCAAACTAAACAACAAATGGAACAGGAAAAAAGACACGATGTATAAGAAAAGAATAAACTAAAGCATCTATGCAAGGCTAGTTTCTTTAAACTAAAAACAGAAAATAAATAAAAACAGAAAATAAAAGCTGAATTAAAGCAAGTGAAGATAAAAACAAGATAAATGCAGGTCGTAGAGCAAGTTGAACAATTATCTTGGTTAAAAAACACTGGTCGATTTAGGAGAATCTTACCTTCACGTCCTAAAATGTTTGGCTTATATATATTTTAGGTTTAAATCAGTCTAAATTTTCACAGATATAAGTATGTGATTCATGCATGCACAGGACACACTGCAAAAAATGGAAATCTAAATGAGTCATTTTTGCTTAAATGAAGTGCATTTTTCTTGATTTGAGGAGGTAATTGAGATAATTTGCCAATGGAACAAGAACGTTTACATTTAAAATAAGAAAAAAACAATTGCTTTGTCTTATTTCGAGTGCATATTATCTAATTATCTTGTTTTAAGAGTAGAAATACTCATTCCATTGGCAAATCATCTTATTTATCTCATTTTAATTTATCATGGAAATACTTTCAATTCTACTTAAACTGTTTATTGTTAAATTAGAATAAAATTTAGAAATTAGTTCTTTCAAATTAGTTAGTTTGCTTTGATTAATTTTTAGGACAAAACTAATTGTTTTGAAGTTTTATGTTTTATCTTTCATGTTGAAATCCGGCTCAGGTTTTTTTAATTTCCTTTCTTTTTTTTTTTTTTCAGATGTGTTGGTGAGTCAACAAGGAGCTGGAACGAGCCACAGTAGCGCCCCCTCTGGTCCCCAAGGCCTCAGGAAACACTTTGTGAGAGGCAAGCTAGACTGTGACAACCAGCAACCAGACCCAGACCGCCTTTTTCAGCGCTGCTTCATGGCCACCGTTACATCCATCAATGTGGAGAACCCTGCATAGGGAAAACATGGTTATTGTTCAGTTCTTTATTTTGTATCTGCACCAATGTTTGGTTTCAAGAAACAAAAAATATATAATATGATTAGATCAGTTAGCAGGTGGAGAAACTTTTTCATGGCTCTAGTTAATTGGGAAGTTGAAACTTAGATTTTGACAGGTAACCTTTAGCATCTCTAAGCTTTAAGAAAATCCTTATAAATTGTTCCGAAATATATGTTTTGATATAAAAAAGTTCATTTATCCAATGCAAACAATAAAAATCAGGAATTATACTTCTTAGTCTTTCAAAGCTATGTATGATGGAGAGAAAGCTAAGACTCCTAATAGCAGAGAAGTGAGTTTTTTTTTTTTCTGAGTACTAAAAATCACCTAATGCTTAGAAACCAAGGTGTTAATACTAATCCGATCTTCTTATTTATCTCTTTATCTAAAGCAAAAGAACGTGAGCAAGGCAGCTGTTAATTCTGCTCTGTCCTGTAATAAGAAATCAATGTTCACTTTATAAAATATCTAGAAGCTGCCACCCTCCTTTGAGATCCGGATAGATGTAATGTCACAGTCTATTAGCACATTCTGCTCATCATTTTTCAACCCTCGTCATCGGTGGAGAGCAGAATTTGCTTCTCAGCACCCAGATTGATACGCCATTGATGTGATCTGCATATTTTAAGCTCAGTTTTACAAATGCATGAATAGTAATTTTTTTTTGTAAAGCCCTGCAGTCAAAGCAAACAAAAATTTGGAAACTGGAAAATGTTGAAATTAGTTTTATGCTCATCTAGGGATACATTTCATATTCATTTATACCCATTCAGAATAGCTAAAATCGAGCTTCTGGGATTGAGAACTAATGTTTTGGTCTTTAAACTGCCTAATTTAAATAAAAAATAAAAACTAAGCTCATAAATAGCATGGTGAGATGCTAGAGTATGAAACAATATATGTTTCAAAGACTAAAAAAATTGGATAGAAATGTATTCAGGTGGCAATCTCCCCTCTGTATACATGTGATAAATGTCAGGTCTTTGCCAGCAAATCTCTAATTTTTTACAGTGTTGGCCTGCAGCTCTTGTTACCAGGAGTCAGATTAAACCAACAGTGGCCTAAAGTCAGTCTATCCATTTCCATAACATGAATCAAATGTCGGTATAACTGTGTGTCTCTACAATAGTAGGAAGATTGAGTCTCCATCACCGAATATCATCTGCCTAAATGTCTCACTTCCTGTCCTGGTCCAACAGCAGTTGGACTAGAGCAGATGCTCTAGTCTTGATGACTGCATAGGCATTGGATATTAAATCCTGTTGCTTCAGATTCAGCTTTCTTGCAGTTCTTCAAAGCTGCACCCTTTCCACTGTTTGGGCAGAAATCTTCAAGTTCCAAGTTAATGAATTAATTAATAAACACGAAGGTTCTATATTTGAACTATGAAAACATGCAAGACCTTAAAAGCTTTGCCCCAATGCCACCTTTGGTGGGAACAAGTGAGGAATGTCTCAATCAAATCTAAAATAAATCTTCATTTAGTCTGCTCCATCCTTTAGTCGGCTCCATCCTTTAGTCCGCTCCATCATTTAGTCCGCTCCATCATTTAGTCTGCTCCATCCTTTAGTCCGCTCCATACTTTAGTCTGCTCTGTCACATAGCCTGCTCCATCATTTAGTCCGCTCCATTATTTTAGTCTGCTCCGTTATTTAGTCTGCCCTGTCACATAGCTTGCTCCATCATTAAATCTGCTCATTATTTAGTCCGCTCTGTCGTCTGCCCAATCCTTTAGTCTGCTCCACCATTTAGTCTGCTCTGTCATTTAGTCTTCATTTAATCCACTCCATCATTTAGTCCACTCTATCATTCAATCTGTGCATCATTTAGTCCCGGCGATCATTTAGTCTGGTCCGTGAATTAGTCTTCTCCATCAATTAGTCCACTCCATCATTTAGTCTGCTCCGTTATTTAGTCTGCTCCGTTATTTAGTCTGCTCCGTCACGTAGCCTGCTCCATCATTTAGTCCACTCCATTATTTAGTCTGCTCCGTTATTTAGTCTGCTCCGTCATGTAGCCTGCTCCATCATTTAGTCTGCTCCGTTGTTTAGTCTGCTCCGTCACATAGCCTACTCCATCATTTAGTCCACTCCATTATTTTAGTCTGCTCAGTTATTTAGTCTGCTCCGTCACGTAGCCTGCTCCATTATTTAGTCCGCTCCATTATTTTAGTCTGCTCCATCATTTAGTCTGCTCCGTTGTTTAGTCTGCTCCGTCACATAGCCTGCTGCATCATTAAATCTGCTCATTATTTAGTCCGCTCTGTCGTCTGCTCTATCATTTAGTCAGTTTTTTAATTTTGCCTGCTCAGTCATTTAGTATTCTCCGTCACGTAGTTTACTCCATCATTTAATCTGCTCCATCATTTAGTCTGCTCCGTCACATAGCCTGCTCCATCATTAAATCTGCTCATTATTTAGTCCGTTCTGTCGTCTGCTCCATCATTTAATCTGCTCCATCATTTAGTCTGCTCATTATTTAGTCTGCTTCATCATTTAGTCCACTTTTTAATTTAGTCTGCTCCGTCATGTAGCCTGCTCCATCATTTAGTCCGCTCTATCATTTTAGTCTGCTCCATCATTTAGTCTGCTCCGTCACATAGCCTGCTCCATCATTTAGTCTGCTCCATCATTTAGTCTGCTCCGTTATTTAGTCTACTCCGTCACATAGCCTGCTCCATCATTAAATCTGCTCATTATTTAGTCTGCTCTGTCGTCTGCTCCATCATTTAGTCCGTTTTTTCATTTAGTATTCTCCGTCATGTAGTTTGCTCCTTTATTTAATCTGCTCCATCATTTAGTCTGCTCATTATTTAGTCTGCTTCATCATTTAGTCCACTTTCTAATTTAGTCTGCTCCGTCATGTAGCCTGCTCCATCATTTAGTCTGCTCCATCATTTAGTCTGCTCCATCATTTAGTCTGCTCCATCATTTAGTCTGCTCATTATTTAGTCTGCTTCATCATTTAGTCCACTTTTTAATTTAGCCTGCTCCGTCATATAGCCTGCTCCATCATTTAGTCTGCTCTATCATTTTAGTCCGCTCCATCATTTAGTCTGCTCCATCATTTAGTCCGCTTTTTCATTCAGTCCGCTCCATCATTTAGTCTGCTCCGTCATGTAGTCTGCTTGGTCATTTAGTCCTCAGTATTTGGTTCCCTTCGTCAATAAGTCTGCTCCATCATTTAGACCACTCTATCAATTAGTCCGATTCATCACTTGGTCCGTTTCAGCACAGTCTGCTCCTTAATTTAATCGCTCATCACCTTTTCGAAATTGCATTTTGTTTTTCTTTTATCATTCTTTTCTCATGACCCTTCTGGTTCCAGGGCAAACAGAAAACCAGTTTAATCCAGTTTAACCTATCAAAGTTGCATCTAAGCAGGTCCCTCCTTGGTCATTTTGTTAACCAAATGTGGCAGTCTAACCAGTGAGTTTAACTGGTACCAGAAGGGTCACAGAAAAGGTAAATGGATCAGGTAAAGCAAAAACAAAATGCAAAAAGGTTTTGAAAAAGCAAGTTAAAAAAGAAAAAGGACTAAGGAATAACCTTTTTAAACGTATGTTTAGGAAATTTATAGCATTTGCAAATTTAGTTTTTAAAATCTTTATTTAGAAATAGAATTTAAAAAAATACATGAATAGACTTTCTCACTTATAAACACATTAAAACTACTTTATTCCTACTTATAACAGCATATATAGCAGCCATTGTTACAGGCAAAGAAAGTATAGGGTAGCTCTGCCCAACGTGCATCAGACCCACTTTCTTGTACAAGCATAAAAAATGAAGCAGCACGCATGTTTTTGCTGCTCTTGCTGCTTTAGGTGTGAACGTAGCAGTAGGCTAATAAACTAGCCCCACCTGCTAGCGGCCAAAATCATTTTAGCCTGTGAGTGGTATAGCCTCGATCAATGCCCCAGGCCCTAGAACTGGTTGGCCAATCACAACGCAGAGATGTGCTTTGAATTTCTTGATGCCAAGCGGGCAGGGATTTGAGGGTGCGACGACCGAGGTACACGACGCTGGAGAAAGCACAACAAGGAAGATGGTAACAACTATTAAACAGTTCTTGTTTGACGCAGCTTTGGAATCAGTTCTGGAAGGATTAGACTTTGGGGTTTTCGTTGAAACGTGAGCAGGAAGAGGCTCTACGCTCATTTGTTTTTAAGAAGGACGTATTTGCCGTTATACCGATAGGCTGTTAGTTTACACTCCTCAAACCAGCTTTCTGTCGCGCTTCCTACGTCACAGTCAGTTGCGCTCATTGGTCAGAGCGTTGGCCGATGGGCACAGACATGGTTTGAAAAACAACGGGTTGTTCTCATCAACAATCTTCTGCTGTCTCCTTCCTCGGGACCAGACTAAATTACACATTTTGACTCACATTTAGTCTGGTTTATCAGGCAATGACTCTACAGGTCCTTCAGAAAAAATTGCATGCAAGTAGAGTCTGCTACTGCCTTTAAAACTGCACATAAATGACTATTTACCCTTAGGTCTCCATGTTTATTTACTACCAAAAGTCATGTCCCATAGAATGATAAAAAAAAAATTGTGAAAGAGTATCACAGAAACCCAATTTAATCAGGGACCTTTAAAGCTAAGCACACTGAGGATACCTGGAGCTGTACCCGCTGGCTGTTTTCAGACCAGTTAACTACATGACTATGAATGGGGTGTTCTTTAAAAAAAGCCCTGCAGCAACTCTCTGAGGTTGGTGAGACAAAATACAAGGTTATTATAGCTGCCAAATATTAATCAGTTTGGTGTTGTGTAGTTTAAACTTTCTCTTGTTGCTGTTCTTTAAAGGCACACTATGCAACATTTTTCAGTTAATTAATGTGTTCCATAACGTTTTGGATGATTAAATGAGTAATTTCAGGTTGAACAAAGGTATTCTCGGCCGCCCTGGTGGTCTGTGGGGGAAATACCGCACTTGCAATTGCAGGAGCCTTCGGCCCGCACCCACAGGCTCAGAAGTCTCGCGAGAGTCGGTCCTGCCTTACGGCGAGAACTGCTACACGCCCCCAGTTAAAAGCATGCTCGTTGCTAGCACAGTGGCGATCTTTGTGCAGTGCTGCTTTCACACCGGACGCAGCAAAAGCAGCAAAATCACGTCTGCTGCTTCATTTTTGCTGCTTGTACAGTTAGTTCTGACGCGTGGCTGAAGCAGCTTTGCTGCTCTGGCTGCGCGGTGCAAAAGTGTGTCTGACGCGCGTTGGGCGGAGCTTCACTATCCTTTCTGTGCCTTGCAGCTATATTTGCTGTGATCAGTGGGAATAAAGTAGTTTTGATCTGTTTTTAAGTGAGAAAATACACCTGAAAACGTAATCAGTGCAGTCAGTTCATTCAGATTACTATCCTGCCTTACAATATTTTTTCTGTCGGAGCCGCTCAGACCCCCACATACCAGCGGTGCGCCGACAGTAGGAATCCCTTCATCAGCAGCCTCTGGCCAGGTCGCCTCCTCGTGGTTCACCGCGGCAGCTGGTAGGTGTTTTTCATCTAAATAATCCAAACTGCAGGCACCATGATAATAAAAGCCAACATATTCTGCCGGCAGATTTCTGCATTTTAAGTTAATTTAGGCGTCAATAAACTGTTTAAGAGGAGTGATCATAGCGCTCTGATCATCAGCGCTGTGTCTCTCTCCCTGCCAGCTCCCAGATCAGCTTCTCTGATTGGTTGACGCGGCGTATCGAGCAGCAAAAATTAAATTTTTCCATCTCGATCAGCAGCGCGTTTGCGGCGCGTCACGTGCGTCAGATGCTTAGTCATTGGTTGCGTTCGCCTGTCTGCTAAGCTCAAAACAACCACGCCTGGCTGAACGGAGAAACCAGGAGAACAGCTGTGCATATTTACGACAGTGCACTTTTACTTTCGCCCTCTGGGGGGAGCCTCGCTGGAAAATCAACACCGGTTGCATAGTGTACCTTTAAATAGCAAAAAAAAATTATTGTTGTCTTTGTAGTTACATTTATGTTTGCTTCATTGTTTTTAGGCTGTTGAATGAATTATTATAAAATGTTTTCCAATAGAAGAGTATGGTTGAGTGAAATGGCTCAGTTCACTCTAAAGGGCTGGTTATTCTCCCACAGCAGTGTGTCGCAGTGAACTTGTTGCAGATATTTTTTATTTATGCCCAATTTTGAAGCGCGGTCTGCGCTATGTTATTCC